CCGATGTTCTTATCAGGGGAAGGCCTCAGCCTCTCTGCCCTGTTGTTGGCACTCCAGAGGAACCAGTTGACCACTGTGTGTGAGACAGGATGCTGGACTAGATGGACCACTGCTCTGATCCAGCAGGGCTCTTCTAATGTTCTCAAAGAAGAGGCACTCGTCGCCCTGATCCCACTGTCTCCGTACTGCTGAGCACTTCTTGAGTAGCAAGGAAAAGAATTCCCTAAAACAGCAGTGTGACCGCAAGGAAGGGTTTGGTGCAAGATGTGTCAGATCAAATTCCGTGCCCCGGGCAGCCTTCTCTGGAAAGGCCCTCGGACTCCCCCAGCAGCGCCTTGTGGGCTGGCTGCCTGTTGCTCACCCAGCCCGGTTTCTGGATGTCTCCCCAGAGTGAACGGGGGCCTGAGTTGTCCCCGCTGCAAGTCTCCATCCTCCGCCCGCCTCCACCCACTCCGTCTGGGTCTGGGAAGGGCCCGGCCGCTGGTGTGTGTGTGTGTCCGGAGGAGGTGTTTCCTCCTGCCCTGTGAGCTTGGGAACAGAGAACCGAGAGCGGCCGGCCCCTCCTCTGGGTCTCAGCAGGCAGGAGGTGGGGCTGGGCAGGCCCTTTCTGTTGCCTTTTCTAGAAGCGGGAGGCCGGACGGCTTCAGAGTTTAAACCCGGCAGGGAGACAGGAGCGTGCACCGGGCTGGCAAGCGGGTCGGTCCCACCGCTGGGGACGGAAAAGAGGATGCAGCCGGGCTATCCCGTGGCCGCTGCTTCTCTGGCCGGCCTGGATCCCGTCATCGGAGTGCCACGAGCAGCCTGCCAGCCAGGCCTGGGGACGGGGCTCTACTCTGGCATGGAGCCCTTCCAGGGTTCCCGGGGGCAAGGGAGCGAGGGCACCAAGCCCCCCTACAGCTACATCGCGCTCATCACCATGGCCATCCAGAGCGCGCCCGAGATGAGGATCACGCTGAGCGGCATCTACCGGTACATCACGGCCCGCTTCGCCTACTACCGGGACAACAAGCAGGGCTGGCAGAACAGCATCCGCCACAACCTGTCGCTCAACGAGTGCTTCGTCAAGGTGCCCCGCGACGACAAGAAGCCGGGCAAGGGGAACTACTGGACCCTCGACCCGGAGTGCTACAACATGTTCGAGAACGGCAGCTTCCTGCGGCGCCGGAGGCGCTTCACCCGCAAGAGGGGCCCAGCGCGGCCTGGGGACGGCGAGAAGGTGCTGCCCGGGTGCCAGCCGGAGCCAACCGGGCTGACTCTCCCCACTAAGGCGATCAAGGTGGAGAGCGGTCAGCTTTCCCCGTCTGCCGCCGGCCAGCTTCGCGGCTCCTGCGCGGAGATGCCAAGCCCTGGGAGGCCCCCGTCGTTGGAGGTGCCCGCTGCGGGCTTCTCTTGCCAAGAACAGCCGGGCCTTGGAAGCCTGGCATGCGCCAAGCCATGCGTGCCGAGATCTAGGCAGCTCTGCCTGTACCCGCAGGATCCACTGGGGTCCAAGTCTCGCCTCTTGGGGAAAGACCCCAGCTATTCTTCCTTGATGGAGAGATCTCAAGGGAAGGACGCCCCTCTTGGGGACATGCCGACTCACCGGCTCGGGCCAGGCACTCTCCTCGGCGAGAGGACGGCCCAGCGGCTCGCCCAGCCACACGCCGATGCCAAGGAGAGCCTCCCGAGCAACGCTAAGATGATCCGCGCGTCTCCCAAGACGGGGCAGGAAGGCAAGGAGGTGTCGCAGGCCTCGTGCCAGTCGAGTCCGTCTTTTGCGGCTCTGCTTGGGCCCGGCAAGGCCGCCCAGGGGTGCAGCGGGCAGCCTCCCCCCGGCTGCCTCCCTGCCTTCGACGGCGAGAGCTACGCCAAGCCGTCGGTGCTGCCGGTTTTCGGTTCGTTGGGGTATCCCAGCCCGGAGGCTCTGAGCGGGAACTACCAGTGCCGCCTGCAGGCCTTGAACTTCCGCGTCAACGACCACGGGTGCGGCGCGGCCCTGGAGCACCTCTTGGCGGCTCCGGCGGCCCCCGTCTCGGCGGCCCCCATGCAGCCGACCCCCTTCGTGCAGCTCCAAGGGGAGCAAGACTCCTGGGCGGGGACCCCTTTCTCCCTCCAAGGAGGGAACGGCTACCCGATGGGGCTCTCCCACTGTCTCTACAGGACACCCGGCATGCTGTTCTTTGAGTGACCCGGGGTGTGAGACCTGTGTTCCGATTCTGCTCTCACCAGCGCCCTCTAGAGGATGGGCCCTTGCGCACCCGGACACCCCACATAAGTTATTGACGGCTGCCCGGCAGAGCCGAGAAGGACTGCAAGGGACAGAGACTGCTCCGTCGCGGCCTGAGCAAAAACCTCCCGCCCAGTGGAGGACACTGTGTGCTTTTTTTGGTTCTTAGCCACTGGAATAAATACATACTCCGTTTACAGGTGCTGATTTTCTACCCACGATGCGGGTCTAGGTGGGCACGGAGCCGAGGGGCTGGGGATCGCAGGTGGATGGATGGATGGATGGATGGGGGGGGCGTAATTCGGGATGCTACTTTGGCCTGCGATCTGCAGGACTGTCCCCGTGTTACTTACAGGTGTGTTGTCCCCTTGCCTGACCAGCCTACGGTTCTCCTCAAATAGCCACGCTTTGTCTGGGGGAGGGGCGCCAATTTTGCTAGAAGTCCCCTTGAAGGTGGGGTTGGCCAAGGCCTCAGCAATGGGGTTTGAGAATGTCCCCCCCCCCCGCCGCCCGTTTGGTGTAGCGGTTAAATGCGTGGATTCTAATCTGAGAGAACCGGGTCTGATTCCCCCCTCCTCCTCCACATGCAGCTGCTGGGTGACCTTGGGTCAGTCACAAGTTCTCTCAGAGCTGATCTCTCAAGGGCAGTCCTCGAAAGAGCTCTCTCAGCCCCACCTACCTCCCAGGCAATGTTCCCTCTAAGCTGTGGAGTCTTGTGAGCAAAAATTCTACTTTGTGAGCTACCGGCATTAAAGTTGTGAGCCAGCGATTTGGCTGCTGCCTAAATTAGTTTGCTCTGGAGCCATCCTTCCTGAGCTAAGACAAAAATCTGTGAGTTGGAGGCTAAAAAACTGTGAGCTGGCTCACACTAACTCAGCTTAGAGGGAACAGTGCTCCCAGGGTGTCTGTTGTGGGGAGGGGAAGGGAAAGGAGTTTGTAAGCCGCTCTGAGACTCCTTTGGGTAGTGAAGGGCGGGGTATAAATCCAATCTCTTCTTCTTCTTCTCCCTTTTGGCAATTCTACTGGGCCGGTTGAAATGCCATTATTCTGGTCAGAAAATGAAGTGGGGGGAATTGTCTTTTGAGGTTTCAGTTATTTCCCCCACTTGACCTAAGGTTATTTCAAACAAATTAAATAGTATTTTAAGAAGGAGGTACTTTGCACATGCTCAGAAACATGCCGGTTCTGCATCACTGTATTTTAAAAGCTGCTTTCTGTCAGTGGGGAAAGGCAGTCCACGTATAATCAGAGGTGTCCCTGCCTTAATTCATTTTTTAAAGACTGTTTAGAACTTTAAAAAAAACAACAGCATTCCCTGAAGGGGGGAAACACTCTGCATATGCTCAGATGTACTCGGCTCACAGGACGAGAATTTTAAAAAGCAAAAGTTAACATTCAGCAGAGTATGGGAAACAAGCAGGAGGAACTTGAAGTCCTGAGACAGGAAGGGGACGATGAGCTTACAGGCATCACCGAAACTTGGTGAGATGACACTCGCAATTGTAATATTAGGATTGAGGGGTACAACTTATTTTAAAGGGACAGGCAGATAAGGAAGGGTGTTGCATTACGTATAAAGGAGTTGCATTACGTATAAAGGAGGTATATACTTGTGAGGAAATATGTGAATCTGGGCATGAAAGTCCAGTTGAGAGTCCCTGGGTAAAAATAAAAGGAGGAAGAAATAATACTGATATCATGGTGGGGGGCTACTATACACCACCAAGCCAGGCAGAGGACTTGCATGCCAAGGTTCCCTCTAAGCTGTGGAGTCCTGTGAGCAGAAATTCTACTTTGTGAGCTACTTGCATTAAAGTTGTGAGCAAGCGATTTGGCTCCTGCATTAATTAGTGTGCTCTGGAGCCATCCCTTCCTGAGCTAAGGCAAAAATGTGTGAGCCGGAGGCTAAAAAGCTGTGAGCTGGCTCACACTAACTCAGCTTAGAGGGAACACCACATCACTTGCTGTGATCCATGCGCTCCGCCGACTTTTTGCCACCCACGGGTTGCCTGACGTCATCGTCAGTGACAACGGGCCTCAATTTGTGTCTGAGGAATTTAGGCTCTTCCTCACGAGTAATGGCATACGCCAAATGACTTCGGCCCCTTTCCATCCGGCATCTAATGGCCAAGCCGAACGGATGGTCAGGACGGCCAAAGAGGCCCTGGGTAAAATGGACGAAGGGGACTGGAGCCAGAGGCTGGGCTCCTTTCTTTTGCTGCAGCACACCACCCCCTGTAGTGCTACAGGCCGTAGTCCGGCCGAATTGTTAATGGGGCGGAGACTCACGACCCGTTTGAACCGAATGCACCCAGACCTCACAGAAGATCAGTCCGAGCGTACCACTGCGCAACCGAAGGTGCGCATGTTTGAAAAAGGGGACAAGGTTTTCGCACGAAATTATGCAAACGGGCACTTGTGGCTTCCTGGGGTTATATCCGACTCTGTGGGTACTCGAATGTATGTGGTGCAGTTAGCTGACGGTCGAATATGGCGGCGCCACATAGATCAGTTAAGGAGACGTTGGGCTAGGGACAGCGCTGACTCTCCGACGGCTGAATCCCCTGATGTCGAGTGGACACCCCCAGAGCAGGCGGTGAGTACCGAAAGGCCCGGTACTGTCCCCGAGTCAGGGCAGAACCCTGTGTGCGGGGCTGAAATCCCAGTCGAGTCTGTGCCTGATCCAGGCTGTAGTGAACCCCACTCTGACCCACAACCTTGTCTGCCCGTGGAGCCTGCACCGCTCCGCAGGTCCCAGCGTTCGCGGCAAATGCCGACTTATCTGAAGGACTATGAGTGTAAATACTGTTGGAATAACTGATGTACAAAGGTTGATTGCATGTTTGTAAATAATAAAACAATTGGGATGATGGCTTAACTTAGGGGGGAGGAATTGTAATGTATTGAAATGATTACATGAATCACCTCATAGGACTCCCGTGTTAAGCTTCGAGCCAGACCAGGGCTCCTCTGAGCGAACTTCCTATTGGTCGCTTCGTAACAGCGACCAATCAGAACGGTACCATTCCCTAGGAGGGAAAGACTCCCATTGGTCTTTATTCTAGCAATCTCATTGGTTGTTATTTGTAAATAGGCGTGGCTACATTAGCCCGGTTATGTTTAAAAGGAGCATAAGCTCCCACTGTTTTCTGTTCTGGTTTCTTACTGAGTTAGTGCTTGCTCGTTACTTCCAATAAAGCTGAATCACTTGCTGAATCACTGTACGAGTCCTTTGTTAGCGCGATCTAACAGATTCTATCTATGATACGTAGTCAGATATATAGGTTGGACTGCAGGAAAGCAAATTTTGACAAAACTTAAACTTATGCTGGGTAGAATCTCGTGGTCAGGTATACTTAAGGAGAAGGGAGTTCAAGAGGGATGGGAGTTTCTTAAAAGCAAAATACTGAAGGCACAATCACGAACGAGTCCTAGGAGAAGGGGAAATGGGAGGAGCCTCAAGAAGCCAAGGTGGCTCCATAAACAGCTTTCTAAAGACTTGAGAAATAAAAAAGACTCATTCAGAAAGTGGAAGGAGGGCCTGATAACCAAGGATGGATATAAACAAATCAGTGCTTGTAGAGAGAGAGTTAGGAAAGCTAGCGAGAGACGCTTTGTTGTTGTTCAGTCGCACAGTCGAGTCCGACTCTTCGCGACCCCATGGACCAGATCACGCCAGGCCCTCCTGTCTTCCGCTGTCCTCTGAAGTTTGCTCAATTTCATGTTCGTTGCATCTATTACACTGTCTAACCATCTCATCCTTTGTCGTCCCCGTCTTCTTTGACCTTCAACCTTTCCCAGCATCAGGGTCTTCTCCAGCGAGTGCTCCCTTCTCATTGGGTGGCCAAAGTCTTTGAGCTTCAGTTTCATTATCTGGCCTTCCAGGGAACAGTCAGGGTTGATTTCTTTTAGGATCGACTGATTTGATCTCCTTGCAGTCCAAGGGACTCTCAAGAGTCTTCTCCAGCACCATAGTTCAAAAGAATCTATTCTTCGGCGCTCGGCCTTCCTTAGGGTCCAACTCTCGCAGCCATACATGACTACTGGGAATACCATTGCCTTGACCATGCAGACTTTTGTTGGCAGGGTGATGTCTCTACTTTTTATCATGCTGTTTAGGTTCGCCATCGCTTTCCTCCCAAGGAGCAGGCGTCTTTTAATTTCATGGCTGCTGTCACAGTCTGCGGTGATCCAGGATCGTGAAGTCTGTCACCACTTCCACGACTTCCCCTTCTATTTGCCAAGGAGTGATGGGGCCTGATTCCATGATCTTAGTTTTTTTTATGTTGAGCTTCAAGCCCACTTTTGCGCTCTCCTCTTTCATCCTGAGCAAGAGGCTCTTTAGGTCCTCTTCCCTTTCTGCCATCAGAGACGCTAAAAACAACTAAAAAGGGTTCTTTTCTTATGTTCAAAGTAAGAAAAAGAGCAAGGACATGGTAGGCCCATTGCGGGGACAGGAAAGTGAAACTGTAACAGGTGATGAAGAGAGGGCAGAACTGCTCAGTTCCTACTTTTCCTCAGTCTTCTCTTGCGAGGGAAATGGTGCTCAACATGGCAGAAACAGAACACATGGCGAGGGAAGGGAGTTGCAGCCTAGGATCGGCATAGGGGTAGTACATAAACACCTGGTGTCTTTAAATGAAGCGAAGTCCTCAGATGAACTGTATCCAAGGGTACTAAAAGAACTTGTAGATGTAATTTCTGAGCCTCTGTCCATTGTTTTTGAGAATTCTTGGAGAACAGGTGAGGTGCCAGAAGACTGGAGGCAAGCAAATTGTCCCCATCTTCCAGAAGGGGGAAACAGAGGATCCGGGTAGCTAATGACCCGTCAACTTGACAGACAGTCCTTGAGCATTTAGAAAGGATGGCTGTGATTCCTAAGAGCCAGCTTGGGTTTCTGAAGAACAAGTCATATCAGACTAACCTTGGCTGCGGTCACACGGTACAGTAGCCAAACTAGAGAGACGGAAGACATGCGGAGTTTCCGAGCGCGATCTCACCGGCACATCTGGGAAGCGTAGTGCTTCCGTGGCTCAACTGCGGCTTCCCGCCGATGAAGCGCAGCAAAAAACTAGTACCTCCGAGGTACTAGTTTCCGGAAACTGCGGGGCAAGGGCGGGCGTCT